GAAGGCTAAGTCATGCTTAAGTACTCGAGAACGAGTTCTTAAATTTAAGATTTTCAAAGACGAACTTAAGATCGTGTCATCGGTTGGTGCAATCCGTTTTTGCAGTTAGGCTCGAACTTAACGTTAAGCATAACCTTAAGTCTTTCTTAAATGTTTGGTGCAAGTGGGCATCAAGCATCACTCACACTAAAATCAGACTCATCTCATCCTAACCGTATACAGAAACCATTTTCTTGAGTGACTAAAATGTCCCTAACTTTGAATTGAAGACATGCGCGTTAAATACCATAAGTGAGTGAGAAATTAGTGTGGCTTTTCGTCTTATCATATCGTACTCAAATTTTATTTTGGTGCATTTTCACGGATTAATATTCATGGTCAGGTTGTCGAGTTGTTGTAAAGTGTCGTGTTACAAGAAAACCTTAAAAAATAACATAAGTGAGCTATAAAAACTGTTATTTTATTTGGAAATAAATCGTAAAATTAAATTAAATAACTATATTATAAAATTTCCTGATGGTGAAAGTGGCTTGAACACCTTAAAACGGCAATTTTATGAAATTGCTAGTTTTCCTGGAGTGATTGGGTGTATAGATGGTACACACATTGAGATCACAAGCCCAGGTGGATCAAATGTTGAACTGTACAGGAATCGGAAAGGATGGATGTCTTTGAACGTACAAGCTGTAGCTGAACCAAACCTAAAGTTTACGGATGTTGTTAGTCGTTGGCCTGGCTCTGCTCATGATAGCAGAATGTTTAACAGCAGTTCTTTGTGTATGCGGTTAGAAAATGGCAGGTTATCAGGCCTTTTATTGGGAGATAGTGCTTATGCCCAAAATAGGTACATGTATACTCCAATTAACAACCGAGTAACAGGCGCAGAGCAGCAATATAACAACGCACACATTTTAACCAGGAATGTTGTTGAACGAGCTTTCGGTGTATGGAAATCTCGTTTCAGATGTTTAGCGAAATGTTTGCAAACGTCATTACGACACACAACAAGCTGAGTTGCTGCTACAGTGGTGCTTCATAATATTGCCATTGACACCAACCAGGAGATCGATGAAAGTATAGGTATGGAAGAAACGGAAATATTTCCTCACTCTGAAGCACTAGGCATGAGAAGTAGAGCAATCAGAGCTGCTTTCATACTGCGACATTTTACCAGGCCAACCGATTAATATTACTAAATTTTGTATTATAGTAAAACACCAAATAATTCTAAATTTGTTTGTTATATTTATGATTTATTATCTTGCAACTTTTTTGTTTTAATTTCTTCCTGCTTTAAATCTATGTACCTTTAAAACGCGCTTCTCAGCAGCGCCACGGAGAAGCGCTGCAGAGTGGCCCGGGTGAATAGGCGCTTATACAATATTGTACCGTGGATGGCCGGGTATCAAACTCTTTCTTCGGCTTCCAACTTTTATTCACCTCGGTATAACTTTAAATGCGGAACAGGAACAAACTAACTTCAAAATTACCGTCAACTTCACAAACAATAACAGACGGAAAACTCGCTTTTTCGACTCGCGGGGATTAACCTCTTCTGCACTCAGTCGTTGCTGTCACTTCACTCCCCTGTCTCGTTTTCCTCGCCGCTTATATAGATTCCTTCAGGTAACCTGTAACCTTTGTTCTCGAAATCTCCAGAACAGGTGCGAAACTTGTCAGTGTCATATTTGACAGTAAATGGGGCGCAAATGGGGCTCCCATTTACTGAAATACCATAAATTTTGATCCCTCCATTTTAAACGTGAGTACCCCAGGCCATTTCCGTTACAATATTATGGACCCACGAAACTCGATTTACAAATTGTGATATGTTTAATCGACACAATGAACATATTTGGAATCAAACAAATCCCCACTACTTTGAGCAAAGGCGACCAAAAGTTAAATTTGAATCTAACGTTTGGTGCTGAATGGTGGGTTAAAAATTGTTTTTATTCAAATGAATCAAAAACTGCAATTTTTCGATCGGAAGTGGTGATCACAAAGAAGCACTTTTCTTTACTGGTCATTTGTTTTACTTTTACTCACATGTGCGCATAAGTAAATGTGACAAATTGAACGTGACACTCATTATATTTTTTAAAGTATTTTCATCAAAAGTAACCGATATGTTTTCTTAATTAATTACGTAGGTTTATCGACAACTATTGATCATAATTTAAAGTTTACTTACAATTTGGAAATTATAACTTTGTTACAAGTTTAGTCTCAAAGTCGTTCTATTGGTATATTTTTTTTGCGCTCGTCAATGTTGTCACACGCAAAGCACGATCTTTTTAAATACCGTAAATGTCATGCAAAATATGCAACTTATACAAACACGATACCGTGAAAGCAGCACTTGAATTTTCAACACTCATTATTTCACTTGTATATGCTTACAAAACTACGCTTTTGAAAAATTATGAACGTCAAAACATGGCAATTCCTGAAATTGACTTGACATCAAATTTAAAATATGAAGTTGATGCCTTGTACTTTCGGATATTTTTGTTTGTTATGATTTATAATTCGTGTTATGTCTTTACGTTTCGAACTCTTGACGGATTGACATTTTCGCCCTTGTATCGGAAACTACTATTATCTGCAACTGTTTTAGGATAATGACTATGATTTGGCACTATTTCAAATGTCATAATGAGGTATATTACAGCACTAGTGCTTTTTAAAATTATTTCTGCACTAGTGCGGTAATAAATATGTCGATCATTGTCAAGTTGTGACTTAAAATTGCACATTTTAAAATAAGTTCAAGCTATGATCTGCCATCTGATATTGAGAACGAGATTTGGATCTTGTGCCAGATAAATCACGGAAGAAATAAATACCCGAGAAGCTTTGATCGGTACCAGAAATGGTGCAGTGAACGAAATAATTATTAGAACGAAAGAACGAACTATTCCAACTTTCTTTTGTTGGGATTTACACCTTAAATTTCATTTCGAACTTAAGTCCGCTGTTAGGTGGGACAACATTTGCTCCTATGATTGGAAGATCCCGACGCATGGCGGTCCTAGGGTAGAGCTGCATTCTATCCTTGGTAGCGCTGCGGTGCCCTCTCTGCGTATCCGCAGGGTGAGCTTAGAAAGGCCCAGGAGGATATTTAATTCTCGGTGTCGTTTTCATTGCGCCGGTCATTGCTAGGCAGGCCAGTCTTTGCAGTGGCCAGCTTCTGGAATATGCACGCCTTGTCCACTGCCGGCCAGCAGACCACGCATCCTTAACAGATCTTCGGTCTTATAACGGCAGTGTATAACCACTTCATAACGTGTGGTTTTAGGCCTCAGTTTTCCAAAGCGCCCATCGCAGGTGCCACATAGTGACTGTAGCCTTTTGTATAACGTTCTTTACGTGGGGTTTCACCCACGTTAGTGTCGAGGGTCACTAGGATAACCTAGTTACTTCACATCTCCTACGAGGGTAAGAGGTTTTCCGTTCAACATTGGAGCCCTATATAATTTAATTTTTCTTCTCCTTCCAAAGAGCATGATATCCGTTTTGCTAGGATTAACTGATAATCCGGCATCGATGCACCATCATTCTACATGCAGCCTGTATTATCTCGCAGACAACGCCCAGAAACTTCCTCTTGACGAGGACTTTTACTTTTTCAGTCCGACTTTATTCATAACTTAATTGTTACAATATACGATATCCAACAGTCTTAAAGTATAAATAAAATCTTAGCTGTTTACACGCATTAAAATTAATTATTAATAGATTAAACAATCGAGAGTGCGCATCGCAACTGGTTCAAACAGTTTTGCACGATCTCCCAGAAAGGACTTACGCCTCTCGGCAGCCCATCCAGCCGAAGCCATAGAGCCTAGACTAGTATGCACCACTCCCCTCCAAACCACCAGTCCCCGCATTCGGGTTCGGTGAGATTCTGGCAGCTGTTAACTTGAAAAACTTAAAAGTGCACTTCACATGACCCCGTTTTAATCAGAAAGAGCACTGCTGGTGTCCGGCA